AATAGGTAATAACTATATTATACTAAATACCTATATAAATTTAATTTTATAATTATTTACTATAAGGGATTAGAAAATAAATAAGTAAATACCATTAGCAGAAAACCAGACTATAATACTAATACAATAAAAACCAATAAATAAATCCTAAAAAAGAATAAAAAAGGAGAATATAAGTTTACCTAATAAATTAAAGCACTAGGATAGATATAAAAGGCAATAGCAAAAACAATCCTAAAACATAAAGTATATGACTTCCTTTACGAATTCTATTTATACCTATTATATAGATATTAAGAAGTTATAAAGACCTTAAAACAATTATAATAATAAAGATACTAGACCTAAAGAAAAGAAGTAGAAAAAACAATTAAACAATATAACCTCTATATAAAGATAAGGTCATAAAGATATAAACTATATAGATAACTATAACTACTAAAAATAGCAAAATAACCTTAAAGTTTAATTATAATAGACTTTATAACTAAGTTACCCTTATTAAAAGAACCCTTAACTAGAATCTTCTATAATAGTATTATAATTATTATAGACTAACTTATAAAGTTCTTATACTACCTACCTTATAGAGAAGTAATAAATGCAAAATAAATATTATATATCTTCTATAATAAGATAGTCAGAATATATAAACTACCTATAGAAATCCTATTAGATAGAAGACTAACTTTTATATTAAAGTTTTAGTAAGTACTTATATTATATTTAGGACTAAACTACTAACTATTAATAGCCTTTAGACCTTAAATAGATAGATAAACTAAATAAATATATTAAGTATTAAAGCAGTACTTATAGTATTATATTAACTATAAATAAGATAATTAGGTTAAGAAACTATTATATGCCTAATTAGCTTATAATACTATATATAACAAAAGTATAAAGCTCATACTATCTAACGCTAACTTTAGATTTATGCCAAATATATACTATAATGTATAAAAACCTAAATTAATTAACCTAGCAGCCATTATTAAAAGCAAAGACCTTAAGATACTCTATAATAAAATAAAAACAGAGCTTAAATATATTAAAAAACAGATAAAACAGTACTATAATCCTAAAAGGATAAAGGGACTAACCTTCTCAGAGGGAGATATAGTTTACCTATTTATAAAAAACATTAAAATAGACTAATTAAGTTATAAACTAGACTATAAGTATATTAGACTATTTAAAGTTATAAAGAAAAAATTAGAAAATAACTATAAACTAAATCTACCCTTAATAATATAATACTATCTAGTATATTATATTGCAATACTTAAATTAGCAGTAAATATAATATATATTAGAACTGGTAATAAACTATAAGTAATTACAAGACTAAAGGTCTATAAAGCAGAAGTAATTAAGAAGATATAACTAAAGAACAGAAAATGCAAATATCTAGTTAAATAGAAAGACTACCTAGAAAGCGAAAATATATAGGAACTAATAAAATACCTTACTAATACCTAATAACTCCTAAAGAACTTCTACCAGAACCGGAAGAATTAAGGAAAGCACTAAGACTTAATAAGTCCCACTTAGACTGTTTAGCAACAGCAGACCAGTCCTAAAAAGACCTATTAATCATAGCACCTTCTAAAGCAGCCTGCTTATTATGCTCTGCCTTCTCCAGTTTATCCATAGAACTAAGACCATACTAAATTATATCTAAGCCCTTTACCTCTACTTAATAATATTAATGCCTTAGATAAGTAATTTTAGCAAACTAAGCATTTATAGTATTATAAATATAAGTAAACTTTACTTAAAGACTAATTAGTTTGTCCTTAGCAGCCTCTTCCTTATACTCTAAACAATGCTTTTTATTAATAATCTTTTTAGCTAATATTATATTAGTAAAATCCATAAAACAATTTCATATAAAAGAAAATATACCTACTACTACAGAAAGACTATAACTATTATAAAATATTCCTAACTTAATATAAGGATTATAGTAATTTAACTTTATAAGGTTGAGAATATAGGAATCCTTTATCTTCTGATAGATGCAGTTAGAATAAGGCATAATAGGATTCCTAAATGCTATAATAAGGATATAAAGAGAATTGCAATTTTTAATAGAAGTTTTCTTAGTCTTAGATATATAGTTAGATATCTTAAGGGATTATAGGATTAAGATTATACTTATAGAGAATAACTAATAGAAAAATATATTAACTAGGCCTTAAGGATAAGGCCTAAAGGAGGGGAGAGATTGTGTTATAACCCTAGCAGTTCTATTATATATACCCTATATTTTCCTCCAATTACTACAATCCCTGCTAAAGACAATCAGCACCAAGACTCTATAATTAGAGCTAATCTATTATAATCAGCACTAATCTACTTAAATTACTACTAATCCCTTAATAACCTTACTAATTAATTAAGGATACCCTTAATATATAGATTATATTTATTAGCACTTTTATAAAACTTAGCTTACTAGCTATTAATAAGACTTCTTTATATTAATAAAGCCTAATATATATTACTTAATTATTAAGAGATATAACACTTTATACCGCTTAGCATTACGCCCTATATTATCTGCTAATATAAACCTAGAACGGACTAGTTTATCCCTTAGAAACCACAACTATTATATATTAAAAGAGGTAAAGGTAATTAATAAGAAAGAAATAGCTAGTAATAGAAAAGGAAAGTTTAATAGGAGAGATTTTTCTAAGAGAGATACTTAAAAAATAAGAAAAGAAAATAAAAAAATAGCTAAGAAAAGTTAAAAATAAAAGGGGATAAAAAGAGATAAGAAGATAGAGATAAAGAGAGGTACTGTATATCCCCTTAATTGTGTTAAGGCTCTAGTCAGGTCACTATAGGGATATCTGACTAATAAAACTAAACAATATAAATAGTATATTATTTCCTACCTAAATTAGCCTATAATAGAAGTCTTAATAATATTTTAAATTACAAATCACAACATTACACTGCTTACATCCTCACATTAATTAATGCCTCCTTTTATTGCTGCTGACCAGCCCCAAAAGCTTCCTTGAGCTCCTTGACCTAGGGCGCCCAAGCTGACAACCACGACAAGCAATGCAATTACATCTTCTTCCTCTTCGGACATATTTATGCTCTGCAGAATGATTTGTATGATGTTTTTGGTGGGAATGATTGATTATGCACCGTCAGGTTCCCCGCATGTATCTATCAGGTGATAGGGGCGATGTGGGGCGGAATACCTTCTGGAGCCTTAACACAATCGAGTGGATAGTAATGAACAGTTGTAGCTTCCTCTTTTACAACACTGTCGCATTCTCCACGAGTCTCCACATAGTGTTAGTGACTTCTTTCTATAGACCGTATACTTTTGCATGAATGCTAATAAACAATCGATCCAGGCTTAACCATAAGTAACCGCAGTGCTGACACGCACCGTCGTAAGCAGTTCCTTTAGGATTAGCTCAGATACCTGTAGCTACCATTAAGGTACGCTTACCCCGAGGCCGAAAATAACGTTTAGGCAGTTTTGACGTCCTAAAACGGATAGCTTGACCCTAGTAACTAATGACCAAATCAACTCTAGTAGAGTTGATTTTATTGACCCACTTTAAACCTAGTAGGGTTGATTATTGCCAGGGTATAGAGTTGATTTTACATTATTCTACATATAGGAAGGGTAGTGCTGATCAGAATAGGGGTTTACTATAGAACGCGACGCATCCTGTTACGTAAAGTGCTATTAAGTATTACATACTGCTAAATGGTGTTATTATTAATCGGAGTATTATCTTTATTCAGACCATACTATTAGCAACTAAGTCATTATAATAATTACTATTATAGCTTCTAAATTACAATCTGAACTATATAGTGTAATTTATCCTTACGTTCTTCTTTCAATATACTGCCTTATTATATGTCAGGTTTGCAGGTTTGCCTCTATAGCCGATAAGGTTACTACTTATTTAAAAACACGGTATTGCAATATGCAGCTAGAGCATTAACAGGAGCTAGTAGAGAAGATAAAACTAATCCCAAATATTTTACGTAATTAGGATGAACTGCGTGATTTATAGTACTTAATAGATATAATTAAACCTATTTTATATCTTATGCTACTAAAACCAGATAGTTTAAAATGTCATGCATGCGGTCATATTATCTATTATATTTAGAAGATCTAAAAGTATTATGCTAATAAGTATTAATAGATAAACCCAAGAGGCAGGGGAAGACTACTGCCGGATTACTATATATCTGCTTATGAGTTACTATAGGAGGAGGGTGTTATATGCTAATGCTTCTTCCCTAGCAGGGCAGGCAGCAGATAGTTCTACATAGATTCCCAGATATGACTATAAAGAGATGTCTATAAGAAAGTGCATATAGATTCGTTCTAATCGCAAGTGGCGCTACAAGAACTCGGCCCGGTCTTATGTTCTTATCTAAGTAAGGTGGTAGAATGTAAAAAGAAGTACTAGGAAATAATAAATTAGCCACGTTTAAGTAGCAAAGATATAGACAGTGGCTCCTTTGCGACTACAAGTATCTAGATAGAGAGAACATAATGGCAAGCTATATATAAGGGTATAAGGCGCGATATCTTGCAAGCATCGACTTAACTACCTGACTGGCGCGCCTTAGCGATAGACTACTTCTTAGGATAAGGAACCTAAGAAAGTTGTTTAGATATAATAAGCTTGAGTGAAGCTGAGCAGAAGATATCTTGTATCTTAGGGGCATTAGACATTGTGGTAGATCGGTGCGAGAACACGATCTATCGGATGAGTTGTTTTCTTCTATACTGGCTAAACAGCATAAGGCTTTAGTATTTCCACGAAAGACCGTTTAGCCTGGTGGCGGAGAAAAGTACCGAAAGAAAGTACCGGAATGTTCAGAAACGGCTGTTGGCTTTTGCCTTTCGAACGCATATAATGACGGCTAGAGTCAAGAGAGAGTGTATAAGGTTTTAGTTGAGCGAAGATCTATCCTCTTAACTTTAAGTTATTTAGGAGCATAAGGTCTGGAAATTGTTTAACTGGTTAAGAGGATCCTGGCCTGTAATACAGGGACATAGCGACTTCAGTAAAGCCAGTAATAAGGTTTCTGCTTACCGTAATTATAAGTTACTGCAGGATAAAACTATTGTATTCAATGCGTCACAATCTAAGGATTTTAATAATAAGCTAGGTAAAGAAGAAGTCTATAGTAATGACGAAGATGAAGATACTGATTCGATGTTCGGATATGACGAGGTTGACCGTAACAGCTCTGAGGTTATAGGTAACCAAGCCGAAGTCAATAAGAACCGCCATGCTGACCGAGCTTCGAAGATGCAGGATAAGTCTAATATGGCGATTTTTATTAAGTTTCTTAAACTTTTATATTAGTTATATCTCACTATTAGTACTAAAAGTTTTGCCAAAGGCTAACTAAGCTTTACCTTACTTATATTCTTTAGTAAAATCCTTAGTTTCTCCTAAGATTGCAAGCAGTTTTTACTTATAAGGCAGTTTTATCTATACTTATTTAGTCTTATTTATATTTAATATCTATTATTAATAAAATGCGCCCTGCTATTATAAGAGTATTATAGTATTAGGATTCTATAATATCTATATATAGACTAACTTAACTAGTTAAATTTAATTTAAGAAAAGTATATAATAGCAGGCATATAATATTTATTTGCTAAAATAGTTAGTCTAAGAGACTTTAGCCATAATATCGCATATACTAAACTACTATCCTTCCTATTTAGCTAAAGTAATAATAGAGAAATAATATACTATAGTAACTTTTAATTAACAATGGATAAATTCTATTAGGTCCTAGATTATTTTATTTTACAGGCAGAAGAGATTTGTAATAAGCTAATGTTTAACCTTAAGCCTAAAATCGACCTAATAATAATAAAGGATAATATAGCTAATTTATTAAGCGGATATTCGTTTATAAAATACCCTATAAATAACCTTAATAAAGCATACTTAGACCTGCTTTATTTAGTATATACTTCTTAGGAAAGCAAACTTAGTAAAGACAGCTACTAGAGATAGAAATCCATAGACTTATACCTAAAGTAAGTTATAAAGTTAGATAAGATACTTGCTAGGGGTCTATATATAGCATATAGTTAAACTCTGCAAGCACGCAACCTTTTTACCCTAGCATACAAAAGCAGCCCTTTTACTAGTTATAGTATCTCTATCTAGAATAGATTAATAGGTTATACACTGCGGCATTATAAAGCTAAGCGATAAATAGGCCAAGAGTTTTATATAGTCTGCTTTCTACTATTATAGCTAGCGCATATTATGTATAAATATCTTGTTTATATCTAATACTTTACAGCCCTCTTAAGATAAGAATAACAGACTTAGGCATATCTATACTATTATAAACGGCTACTGTTCCATAGTGGCAGAAAGCTATAATACACTTCTTATCTTATATTAATACTTAAGCAGGCTACTTTAGGTATTTAGTAACGCAAGGTTAATATTCAAATCTTTTAACAGATGGCTATTAGCATTATGGAGAAGCATGTCAGAGAGGTGTATTTACTGCTTAATATCTATAACAATACTACTGCAGATACTGACCTAAATGCCGTATTTGCCTGGCAAAGCAGATACCATCCCTTATAGCAAGGGATTACCTATAAACTCGATAAGGCATTTCTAAATCGGCTTTAGCCAGCGCTTCTTTACTCCTATAAGTAGGCATTAATTCATTAGCATAAATTTATTCATTAGCCTAGCAGAGTATTATCTACACTATGCAGAGAAACTACTTTACCTTCTAATCTACTATTAAGTATTATTATACTAAAAAGAAGTATTATATATATAATATAAAGTAATAAGTTACCTAGATATCGCCCTATATTGGCTAAAAAAAGGAAAAAGTCAGATATAGTAAGGGCATTAAAGAACGCAAGCTAAGTAACTAATTCGGATTAAAGAAGTAAAGAGACAAACTGCAGGCTAAGTATTATTTCTGTGAATTCTTAATTTATACCTTATAATAGTTAGATTATATATAATAACCCTTACTTTATATATAAGGAAGAGTATAGGCTTCTTAGTTATTACTTATATGCAATAATGGTTACTTGTTAGCAGATTAAAGATTATCTTTAAAGTTATCCCTACTATTTAAATAGCAGTAAGATTAAGAAGGTATAAGAGTAGGCATCTTAGCTATAACTTATTAATAATAACTAAGAGATTAGTAAATTGCTATTACTTCTTAATAATATGCTAGCAATTAATATATTAGGGCCGCCTAAAACTAGAGGGTTTTAATATATATTTATAATAGAGAATAAAGAGGGAATATTAATATATAGGTTTATAGGCTCTAATATAAGGAGAATATAGGAACACTTAAAGCATAAATATAGATAGGATCTCGGGCTAAAACCTAGTAAAGCGCTAGCAGTAACTAATAATAGGTATAATAAAAGGCTATAGAGGGGAGGCGTTTTATATTAATAGTTATTCTTAAAAGGATTAAGGAGTAAGTTTTTTAAGGTTTTAAGGGGTATAGCTATTATTATATAAGCTTTAGGCTATCTAAATATAATTATAAGACTCTTTTATCTTAGTATTATAGATTATAAATATAAGAAATTAAAGAATAAAGATAGTTAATTATTTAGATTTTAAGTTTTAGTATTTTTAAATCTGCTTTAAGATACTAGTTATTTTAATCTACTTCCTGTAATTAATATCTCAGGCTGCCCTAATAAGAGCTATAAAGCTAACTATAAATCTTAAACTAGTATTTTTTACTATAAGCTATATAAGTATATAATTATATGCTAAAGAATCTAGGTATATCTTTGCAGTAAACTATATAGACTTATAAAAAAGGAAATTAATAAAGTTAAGTTATAGGCTAAAGTACTTAACCTTATTAAAAGTAATAAGGAGATATTAGCTCTGCTGCCTATTCTAAATATTAGTTAACTAATTAAAAGACTTAGCAAGCCTAAAAGTAAAGGGTTTTAATATACCTTTACTATAAAATGCCAGACTATAAGTATAAACTTAAGATAAAGAAATAAATACCTTAGGAAAGTATATAGTATTAAGCTAGACCTAAAGCCTAGTTCCTAGAAGGCTAATACTATTAAAATAAATATAAACTTACCTTACTAGAGAGGTAATATGTTTTATTAGTAGCTCTTTATTAAGGGTTTATATAGTAAATACTTTAAGGTTATAAAAGGTTATAATTTAGAAAGTCTAGATACTAAGTAAGTAAGGGCAGAGCTTGCTATTTAATAGGCCATATAAGCCTTTTAGATAAAGTCTAAAGAGGCCTAAAAGAAAGAGATAGAGGTTATTAAAGAGATAGGTAACTTAGCAGTACTTAACTTATAGCTTTATTAACTAGGATTAATAGCCTATTTAAAAGATTTTAGTAATAAAAAATAATTCCTAAAAGACCTTATCTTATTAAAGTATATTTTAAAGCTAAATAACCTTAAGGATAATTCTAAGCTCTAATATATATATATAGCTATTAGATATCTAATTTAAAAAGCTTCTAATATAGCTAGGCCTAATGCAGTCTCCTAGAATGTGTTATTTAAGGTTAATTAGAAAGAACTATATAAAGAGTATAGTATGCCCTTTTATTTCTAGTTTAAGTACTAGACTTAAAAAAAGTATATTACTATCTATTTTTAATTCTTTACCTATATTATTTAGGCTATATTTTATAAGAATATAGCTAATTAACTATTATTTAAGCTTATTAAGGGCTAAATTACTGCTTTTAATATAATAATAAACTATATTATAAAACTTATTAATATTAAGAATAAGGTTAAGCCTATACTAGTATTATTATAAATTAATAAGTTATATAAACTCCTTAAGAATACTATATTTATCTTTTATATCTTTATTTTTAATTACTTTACTAAGGTAACTAAATATAATAGTATACTTATTAGCTTCTTAATTATATTAAGTATTTAAGATAATAAGACTTAGGAAAATTATATAAACTTTACCCTTAAACTCTTAGCTATTATAGCTATCTCTTAGGTATTTCTTATAAAGTATATAGTTAATAAGAGGGCTTTATATATTTAGTAGAGGGTAAAGTAAAGATAAACTAAATAAGAAGCTAAGGAGAAGAGCCTAGGTATTATTAAGAGGCGATTTATCATAAATCGGCTACCAAAATGGGCAATTTTGCTTAAATTTTAATACTGTATTGTCTGATGCTAGACCGAGCTTCTGATTGGCTAAAAATAACCCTAACCCTATACTTGGGGTTAGCTAGCGTTAACTTAGGGTTAGTATAATATAGAGGAAAGGGGACTTTAATTAATAGAGAAAAACAATAAGACTGTTTCTCTCTTTACTTTCTATTACTATAATTAAAGAGGCAATATTAAGCAGTAATAGAGGATATTATATAGCTTAATTAGGACTATTAGATACTGATCTGCTAGCTATGTTAAGCAGCCGTTTGGCCAGGCCTAAGTATTAAATTACATTTCTAATAGAAGCATTAGCTAAAGGGCTAAGTGCTTAAGGATATTAAAGACTACTATGGCATACTTGAACTAGCTAACTTGAAGCTTACTGCAATACCTAAAGATAATAGTCAGGCAATTGAATAGCTTACTATCTTATATGGATATAGTTATAATGCATGCTGATATCTTATTATTGTAAGAGATAATATTGTCTGTTATTGGCGAGAGGCAGGGTATAGTATATTAGAGGATTGGTAGACTGAGGTGCGGCTATAGAGCTAGATAGGAGGATAGTATGTGTAGTACTGGATTATTTGAGATAATAGCGATATTGACGGCCTGGCTGATATGGCTAATGCAGCTGATGCTAGAAGTTAGAGCGCTATGGATGAGCTTATTGCTGTAAGTCAGGCTTGATTGAAAGAGGAAGACGCCGCATGATTACGGAAGGGTGACTTAAAGGAAGATATTGACTGTGATTTGCCGTGGGTTAAGAGGCTAGGCTAGGTGCGATACTTTGGCTCCTAGGACTTGATTAGTATTTACGATGCAGCCTAGTGGCTACAGGCAAGGGCAGTAATAGGCAGGTGGGCTTAGAATTAAGAAGATAAGGAAGTAGCTTGTGAGTGACTATTGCTTAGCCGGCTTGGATAGAGCTTTAATTGTAAGGTAGACTGTTGCTGCTGGCGGCTTGATAGTATGCTAACTGAGACGTTGTAGTGGCTTGGTAGTATTATATTAATAACCCTAAGTGGCGTGCTGTTTGGCTATAAAGGTAAGAAAGAATTAATAAGCTAGTATAAGTCTATTAGTTACTGTTATTTAAGCTTCTGCTAGAAGGCATATTGTATTAGGCAGAAGGAAGCGTTTTAATACTAGGCTGTTTGCTTTATAGATAAGTAGTAGAGCTTATTGTATAATATTGCTGAAGAGCTTGAGAGTAATAGGGTTCTAAGCAGTTATAATAGCAGATTCTTTAGTGGCAGAGAGAGATAAGCTAAGGATAAAGACAAAGACAGAGATAGAGACGAATATTAAGATAATAATAATAGTAATAAAGGCGAGTAAAGGGATAAAGGTATAACTAGCCTGCTGCAGGATGCACTAGACCGAGCTGTCTTCTGGTTTATTATGGCTTTAATTAAAACTTATATTAGCGGAAACATATATACAAATTCGCTACTATGCTTCTATGCAGCGCTTGGTATTAAACCATGCCTGATAGGCTATATAGAGCTGTATTTATATACTAGTCTGCTAGCTGCTATAGTATAGTAGGCCTGGCTATTCTTTTTAGAGGCTATATTTAAGAATTAGCTGCTAGATTAGGACAAGGTTAGGGTTAAGGCCATACTTGTATTTTAAAAGCAGTATACATCGTGGATATATATAGGCACTTATACTATTATAAGTATAATTATTAGATAGATAGTATATAGGAAAGGGTATTAGCAGAAGATAGGGGGGCAGCTATTAATATAATAGTCTAAGGATAAAGAGGGCTTATTTTATATAGGCAAGCATATTAGCATTAAGGATTTCACCTACACACTATGCGATAAGGTAATTAAAGTAGAGAAGCTACTAAATAAGCTATTTAGGGGGGTATAGCAGCTAGTTAGTAAGAAGATTAATATAAGGCAGATTATTAATAATATAATACAGCTCAGGGCAGGTTAGTTATTTACAAGCAACCTAAAAAACAACTAGCTCAAGCCCAGGCCGGCAAAGGTAATACGGCTAATAGAAGCATTAATATAAGATACCGCAAGGGCCTAATAAAAGCAATATTATATTAAGAAGTGGCTTTAAGACTTGCAGCTACTGCAGGAGACACTGCTCATACTTGTATATATATAGGGTAGGCTTCCGGGAAGGGGACCAGAAATCATAACGCTGCAGCACTCATATGGGGATATGGAGGTTAGGGTTGATGCGTGAGTTCAGAGAACAAAAACTTCTCAAAATGGGCCAAAAGCCAAGTATATGATAGAGCGAGACAAGCTTATTTTGATGAAACTAGACCCCGATTTTTCTCAAGTCTGTGGAATAAGTTATGATGATTCAGAATATTTAGTCGATTGATTCTAGTCAAGTTGGTTGATGACAAAGAATTTCTTGGCTCACGATAAATTCAAATAGGTATAGCGACGACCCACTTTGAAAGTCTTGGCTCACGATTAATTCAATCTGGTTTAGCGCGAAAACCTGGTGACACAATTTCGCGACCTTTCCTGATCAGTTGAAACCTATTACCCTAAAATCCAAGGCGACGAGGGGGAGAGCTACCATTCAATTGGCCTGGTAGCTTCATTGAGTCCTCAAGCCTTGAC